GCCATGATTAACGACGCCCGGCTCGCGATCCACAAAAAACCCATCGGGTTTATAAACCCCACTGTGCGTTCTCATTCTTCCCTTTAGCAAACTGTGTATCTGACGGTTGACCTTCCGCACAGATATATTCCCCGAAATTCAAACGCGCGTTCAATGATACTACCTCCGGAAGGAACCCAGGTTAGCTCTCCTCTCCCTTGACACTCGCAACAGTCGTAGCAGGGTGTGGTACCGCCGGGTTCGCCGCTGCCAAAGGCTTCGATTCCGTCACCGGACACACCCCGATTCCCAGATTTGCTCGACCTTTGGCTGCATGCTCCATAGGCCGAAGCGGACGAAAGGGAAGAGAAACGAACATATGTAATATACTGCTGCTATTCTCCTACTTTTACTTCACGTTATTGTGCAATATAAACGGCACAAATAAAATTTAAAAATGCCGTCTAATGATACTGAAGTATGTGTCTAATGAGAGTGATCCAGCCTATACAATGCATACAATTCTAAGATACAATCCCAAGTCGTCCGTTCCCGTTGCCACACACCCGCGCAATCATACACCAAAACACACCCACTTCGATTACACCGCGCGCCCACAAACGCCTACACCAGCCCCCCAAGCCACACCACCGTCCCCATCACCCCCAACACCACCTTCCTCCGCAACGACACCCGCCCTTCCCTCCCTCCTCCCCTCGTGGCCCCACTCGCCAGCGCAGGACACGCCCCGCCCGCCCGCGTCAGCGCCCCCGCCGGCAACAGCACGCGCGGCATCCCCTCCTCCGCCTGCACCACCGTCTCTCCACTTCCACTTCCGTCTGCGCCACCGACGGTGAACGCCCTGCACGCGAGCACATCGACGAGCACCGTGCCAGAAGCGTAGACGCCGGCGGGGATGCGCCAGGAGGCGCCGGGGGCGCTGTCGTTTGCGGGGAGGCCGACGTTGGTGAGGAGCGCGAGGAGCGGGGGTTTGGAGAGCGCGAGGGTGTGTGGGTCGGGTTGGGGGAGGTATTTTGCCTGTGCCGAAGGCGTTAGTTAAGGACGAAGCGGGGGTGAAGGGTGAAGCCGGGGAAGGAAGGAAGGAGGAAGGAGGTAAGTGAGGGAGAGGACGAAGGGAGAGACGTGGTCGCAGGTAAGTGCATGTAGGAACGTAACAGCGAGGGGAGATAGATGGAGAGGGGCGCAGGGGTGGTAGGTGGCGGAGATGAAGTACAGGAGAGCGACGGGGCGGAGGGAGAAGAAGGAAGGTAAAGGGAGAGGGGCGAGGGAGTAGGTATGGATTGTGGCGGAGCAGGGAAACGGAAGGAGGAGCGAAAGACGGAGATGAGGAGGAGGGAGGGAGAAAAGCTAAGCAGAGGGAAAGGTAGGACGTGGGGTAAGTGTGTGTAGAAACGTATCAAGGATGGGTAAAGACAGAGAGGACGGAGCGGGGGTGGAGAGAGATGGAAGGAATGAGGAAGGAAGGTAAGAGAGGTGGGAGGCGGGGGGAGCCATGGAGTAAGTGTAGGTGGGAACGTATCGGAGAGGAGAGACAGACGAAGAGGAAGGTGTAGAGCGTTAACATCAGGTAGCGTACGTGGAGGAGAGGGGAAGGTAAGCGCGGGATAAGGTAAGCGTAATATCGGCGAGGAGTATAATCGGAGAGGACGGTGAAGACGCGTTATCAGGTAGGTGGTAGATGGGAAAGGAGGGAAGGTAAGCGGGAGTGGCGGAGGGAGAGGTAGGAGGCGGGTAAGTGTATGCAGCGGCGTATCAGTGACAGCAGAAGTCGCGGGAGGGGAAGGGCGGATGGAGTTGGCGTTGATGACGAGAAGGGGATAACAGGTGGGGTAGGGAGGGAAAGACGGAGAGGAAGGTAACGTGAAGAAGTACAAGGCGGGCGCCGCGCTCGATGCAAGGAATCGGAGGGGGACGAAGGCGTATAGAAGGGGAGACGGAGACGAAGAAGAAGAAACCCACCGGCGTCGTCAAGAACCCCCCATCCGCGGCCATCGCCTGCCGCCGCGCGGTATTGAGCGCCGTCACGAGCGCGACGCCCGGCTTGGTCGTCTCGTATGCGCTCAGCCAGAGTCTATAAAAACGTGTCAGCGTCGCTCTCGATACCGGAAAGTAGGCGGGAAGATGAAGAGGGAACCGAAGTAGGGAAGCGCAAAAGGAGGAAGTGAGAGTCGGGGAGAGTGGGGAAGGGAGGGAAAGGGAGCAGCGGCAGGAAGCAAATGAAGAAAACCCCACTCACGCCTCCCGATTATACGGATCCCCCCCGCCCTGATACCCCTGCTCCTGCCCATAATACAGCACCGGAATCCCATCCCCCACAAACACCCACGCCATCGCGTTCCGCTGCAGCGCCACGTCGCTCGTGAACGACGGGAAGCGCGGCTGGTCGTGGTTTTCTAGGAACGCTGCTGTTACCGGTGCGCTTGAGCCCCCAGAGGAAGAGGTAGAAGCGGAGGAGGAGGAGGCGAGAGAGGCGAGGGCTGGGGATGCGGCGAGGGCAGCGAGGTCGCCGTTGGGGCTGGCGAAGGCGGCGGTGAGGCAGTACCACGCGGGGTAGTCAAATACGCCGTCGACGGCGCCGAGGTACGAGGCAGCGTATGTCGCGTTGTTGGTCAGCACCTATCACAATCACGAACACCAGTCAGCCTGTGCCCGTGTCCAAGGAGAAGACAAGCGCAAACGCACCTCGCCCAGCGTGAAGACCCCCGCACTCGCAGTATACCCCGCCCAAAAGTCGTGCCGGATATGCTTGACCGTATCAATCCGCACGCCGTCCACGTCATACGCCTTCACCGTGTCCCGAATCCACGCATTCAGCGTCGCGCTCACGCTGGGGTCCTCCGTGTCGAGGTCCGGGAGGGGCAGGTGCGCGTCGCCGAGCCAGCACTGCTCCACGTCCGTCTGGTTCGCGTAGTCCGTGATGAAGCACTGCGCGTGGTAGTCGGCTGCATCCGTGAAGGGCGGCTGCGCGGCGTAGTCGAAGGTGAATTGGCCGGGGGAGGAGGGGGAGGGGGTGGTGTTGGTGGGGAGGCCCGCGTAGTGGTTCACAACGACGTCGAGCATGAGGAACATCCCGCGGACGTGCACGGCGTCGCTCAGCGCCTTCAGGTCCGCCGCGCTGCCGAAGTGCGGGTTCAGCGTGTCGATGTCGCGCGACCAGTACCTGGCGAGATTGTCAGCACACCCGCTCTTGCCGTAGGAGGAGGAGGAGAAGGGAGAGGGAGGGAAAGCTCACCCGTGATACCCATCGCCGTACGCGGTCTTGTCGACGTTCGCGACGATGGGCGAGATCCAGACGGCGTCAAAGCCCATGTCCTGGATGTAGTCGAGGTGGCTCGCGATGCCCGCCCAGGAGCCGCCGCAGTACGTGCGCAGCGTCGAGTCGCACGGCGAGGACGAGTCGGTCAGCTTCGCGAAGCGGTCCGTGACGAGCTGCGTTGGGCGAGTTCTCAGTTAGCAGCGGACGCGTAAGGCGGGACGACGCGACGAACCTGGTAGATCGACCGGGTGGACCAGTCTGCGGCAGACGCAGCGAGAGCGGGGGAAACGAGGATGAGCAAGGAGAGGACGGCGAGAAGGGAGGGAGGCATTGCGGGGGATGGGGCGCGCGCCTGGCGAGATGGTGGTACGAAGAAACAAGTCGATCGACGAGAAAGGCAAAGGCCGATCGCCCCTAAATCGACGCGTTGCTGCTGGCACGCTTTGACGCGCCTTTGCTGTTTTCCCTTCACCGCCTCTCTCGCTCCTGTATCTTGGCCAGATGATCTATAGCGTGGCGCTCCTTGGCCACTCCCCACAGCGGGCATCCGACACGAATAAAGACTTGGATTCGGCCAGTGCGCTCGCAAGCTGATTTCAAAGCTAACTTAAGCCGCCACTTTGGGTATTTTACACTGGTAACGTCTCCATGAGTGCCGATATTGCAGAGGAAAACCCGTGGGGCATTGCGTACCTCTGATCCTTGGCCGATACACAATACGCTTCCAATGTAAGTGGCTCATGCTCAACGAGCATAGTCCCGACAAGCGCATCCAGCCCTTTGTATCGTATGCTTCGAGTCGCGGTCATTGCTTGGGTAGTTAAGAAAAATCCTGCCTGACATTGAATTAACTTGGTTAGTTTTTAAAGGCGTCTCAATACTCACCCAAAGACCTCTCGACAGTTGCACCTAGCCAGTACACCCATGACGACGCACGATACCGGGTGCGTCTGTCTCATTCCTCTCTAACTTATCGGCTGCCGCAAACCGCTGGATAAGTACGATCGTCAGGGATAGGTGCTCAGAATCTGGTCGCCCTCACGTACCTCTGGGTCGCCCCAAATGCACCGTAAGGTCGTTTGGGCGATCTACGCTTGCCCAGTGTGCAAACACTGCTTGTTTTTCTCCAGAAATCGTACAAATCTCGTCTGCCACCTCCCGGTCGGTCAAAAGCTATCCGAGCGCTTCGAATCCAATTTTAACGAGCTTGAAGATGCATACTAGGTTGCAGAAACTCACAGTGGGTCTCCGAAGGGTCCAAAAACGTCCGTATGTCAAGCGCCAATTCCCAAGCCAAAAATTGCGACAGACGGTGCAACGCAGCAACTCTGTCCTTCCCGATCGATCGTGCAGGCATGGCTGTGTGGTGTGCTTCACGCATAGTTGGCCTTGTGCAGACAATACGGATTGAAGCAGCTCGAGCAAGGTATGCGGGTGGGGAGAGGGTGCCAAATGCAACAGGGATCGAAGACATTTACGGTCACGTGCTCCGTCGCGTCCCAGAATCCGACCAAACATTGCCAAGCTTGGCCGACCGTTGGTTCAAAGAGACGCGTAGTTTCTGTGGCGACTCGTTGCCTCAGGCATGCGTAACAAATGAATGATATTGGCTCGAATCTCGTGTTTGATACGGAGCAAGGCGCACCACATACCGGTCAGCTTCAGCAAAAGTTCACTTCGAATTTCCTTCCCGGTGCCAACTGATTTCTATGATACTACCGCAAAAAGTCAGATACACCAGGCATGGCTCAGCCCGGATTCGAACCAGGGCTTCCTCTAGAAGAGATCTTCAGCATATTGAAAAGAAGGCGTGCAACCGTTACACCACTGAGTCCACGCCATGTTCTATCAGTTGAAGGAAGACATCCTGGTATTCTAACGACTGAAATGGGAATCCCGACCACCGAGTCCACGGACCTAGTATACAGCCGCGAACAACTCTCAGGAATGCAATTCCGGGCGCCCCAAAATAACCAGTTCGCTGACAAATCGCCACGGACAGAATAAAACCCGCGGATCGAGTTCGTTCGCCACGAAAATTCGAGGAGAGAAGTTGAAATTGCCTGGCGCAAGGCCTGGCGGTGCGGCAAAGCGACAGCGGTCTGGCAGGAGAGAACAAAATCGTTGAATTGCAGCATTAATCATGCTCGGCACCGAATACATCTTCCATAAAAATTACATTACGCTTTCACAGGTCCCCCTGCGAGATAATCAGAACCGAAGGACCATTCGAAAACAAAAACGCACGGTAATCATACACGAGAAGAACCTCGATATCCTCACCATTGGGACCGGTGAACTTCATGTTCCTGGCGTACCGCCTTTCGCCGTTGATCTCTTGGATGCCCCAGGCCTGCAGGGCGAAGGTGAGTGGTCAGTAGAGCACACAATACACCGTCCAAAAGAAGGGGACCAACCTGGTTCACGATCCACGTCGTCCCGGATTTTGGGGTGTCGCTCTTGACGAGGAACTGATATCACAATGTAAGTTCAAAACGCCAGATAACGGAGAACGGAAAGAGGCGGACTTGGACGACACCGTGCTCGAGCGTATCAGGGGTCCAGTTCTTTTTCAAGAACTCTTCGTCGAGCTCCGCAACCTGGCAACGCCTGAAAAGGATTAGCAACGCGCGATGGACTGCGGACGAGAAGGCAGACACACCTGGTCTTGCCAATCACATGCCCGAACAGGTCGTCCTTGTCGCTGCGCTCCGTCCACGACAAGGTCCGCTCTTCTTTGGGCACGGGGAACCCCCCAGTCAGCGTCTTCAACGCCAGATTAGCGGCTGAGGCAGGATGCGGATGTATCAAGTACCTGGTCAATGTCGATCTTCTCAACACCGGCATCATCCTTGTAGTGCTTGATGTCGAGCGTGACGGTCGCAGCGGCGATGACCTTGCGCTTCAGAAAGCCCACATCCTGCAGCGTGAGGACCTTGTCCGTGTCGCCGCTCAGAGTTTTGTTCTGTCGGGCCATCCATTGCATTAAAGGAGGAATCAAGAAGGCGATAGGGGTAGAGTACGAACCATGGTGAACTTGCCGGAGAGGTTCAAAGTGGTGAGGTCTGCGCTCTATCAGGATTACCTCCAAATCAGTCGAAAGGGAACGGACGCACCTGCAGGAACGGCCATGGTGGTAGAATTGTGGATGGTGCTAGTAAGCTGGAGAGAGGACAACTTTGAGCGCAGGAATATATATTCCGCTTTTGCACCCACCTGCAACTCCGATCAGCGCTCTTAAATTGCAGTGATCGCACTACCGTGGCCATAGCACTCGCAGGCCCCCGGACACTACCTTTGAGCTCGGTCCGCTCAAAAATCCCGAATTTTGGCTGATTTACGCAATCAAATCGCGTTCCCACGCTCCAAATCAGCGCTGGAAGCCTCAAAAAACCCGAATTTAACCTACGCCCCTGGAATTGGCCTAATCTGACCTCTAGCTGTCGCTTCAGATAGGTAACAAGCCCCAGAGATGGCCAGTTCTGGAGATAGACTTTTCTCAAACTGTCGTTGTTTTATGCTACGGGCGGACGGGACCCAAAGGTAGTGACCGGGGGCCTGCACTCGCGTTGAATTGAAAATGTGGTGCTCTGTGTCCCGTTTGCTTTGATACATGTATCATCGTGAATCATACCCTTTCCGACTATGACACCTACCTACGCGATCAAATATCGTGTTTCATATTTAGCTGAACTCCACATTTAAACGCGTTTCGAATTGGCCACCTGTTGCTTTAGTAGACCGTAGCGTGCCTGAATTAGAATCCGCGGGTCGGTAATATTTCCGACAAACTTCAACGGAAAACCGAAAAAGACCGCGAAGCCGCCTCAGAACGGGGAAGAAGAAATACGGGGGACACATCATTGTCTCCTTCCAAACAGTCTAGCAACTGATGCAAAGCATGATTGTACGGTTGCCCTCCAGGGTCAAGGTCTGTTTTGCGTGATAAGATCAATCGTTTGTGTCATTTCGTGTTGGGGTCCTCCTCGGCACTATCTGCCGGGTGTCACAGCGTTATGCTGACCTAGGCGACGATACCATCACGTGATCGTCCGGCAACGCGTCGCGTCCCGCGTTTGCGTGTTCTCCAGCCAACATAAGTGGTCCACAGATTCATGGGGGTTATCCGAATATGTTTCGAGGCGCGTCTTCTACCTGTGTTTTGACTGAACCTTCAACGGAACCTTTGAAACCTTGTTTGGTCTCGGATACATACCGGGGTTATTCATGTGCATTGTGAGCGGCATGAAAGCTGTCCCTTTTTCATGTGGGTCCAATGCTACTGGCATCTGTAACACGAGCTAGTACTGGCATAGAATGGTCTCTTCAACTGCGCTGATGCGCAATCGAGCTGTTTTTAGCGGCCAGCCCAAGCGTGTACGCGTCCTCTCAAGGACCCTTGTAGTCGCTGGTCGCATGCCAGTTGCTTGAAAATGATGTTGCAACCAGACCGGGTAAACCTGGTTCGACTCTAGCTGGATTCCCCGTTATGTTCCTGTTCACATGTCAGGTGCCAGGCAGGATTCTCCATTGCAAGCACACCACCTAGATAAACATATCGGATGCCTTGTACGCAAGGGTAGCGCTGAATATATACGTCAATAATCTTGTAGGTATCGGAAATTTGAGTACAACTGGACACGCACAGCACGGTAGTCCGGACTCCGGAGTTCATGTTTTTCCGAGAAGGAAAGATACGTTGTAATTCAAACCTCGCCTAAGATATTGTGGGTTAACAGGAAAGCTAACCGCGCACGTTGAACTAAGGAACTGCAAACTGCTGCCCAGTGTTCAGTGGTTACATTTCAAATTCAGGGACTCTGAGTACAGTGCCTTACCTAGAAAGATGGAGCAATCTTTGTCAACAATACCGAGGGGTGTTTACTGGATGAATAGAGTTTGCTTGGCGGCTGTGATCATCACAGCTTTTGCTATGTAATTATGTACTACCCCACCCCCCAGTAGAATTGAGAAGCTGAAGACATAGAAAATTCTCCAAAGGCATGGGATCGGCATTGTGGTGGCTCATGCTGCTAGCACAAGTACGGGTAATCCGTCGGCCAACATTGTGCGTCCCTCATCGCCTGCCCGCCCGTTTCCTCCTAATAAGCCGAACATCGCTTGCTGTTGGAAAGAACCGATTAAGTTCCAGCTCGTGATGTTCCATATTTTGGTCGGATTTCCTAAGACTGAACGCTCGGGGAGCCAGCATCCATCACTGTTCATACTTAAGACAAGTTATCACACATACTCGAATAACTCTCCGATTGCCAATGTTTCAAACCGCGAGTTTGTGTGCTTTATTTCATTCCGCCGCGATGCCTGCGGGAGAAGAGTCAAAACAATTCAAAGATGAGTCCCTTCGCCGTCTCGGGACATTGGCTACAAGGAGAATTTTAAAGAAACTGTGAGTGTAAACCCTTCCCGGGCTTGCATCCCCACCAAACATTGCTGTTAACACGTCGATGAATCAGGATAGTGAGTTGCTTTTCAGCTGTTTACGGCTTCTTGGTTTCGAATTGAGGGATTGAAGCCGCATTCGGAGCCGAGTGGGTCACCCACTCGCAGTTTCGTGTTTGCGCACCGGCTTGAACAATGCAAGCCAGTAAAAATGTAACCGCGAGGCTGAACGTGGAGCGAACTTCAAAAGAACTTCAGGAGGCATCTCATCGAGACTCGGGAACGTTCCACGTTAGATGTGGGTCGAGATTAATTCATGCAAGCTCGTGGTTTCCCGCTGAAAATGTAGGCATGCGAGACTCCCTCCCAAGTGAGCTGCCTTAAATTTTATCCAACAAATTGGAATTTTGCCCGCCCACCTTTAAATTCAAGCTTGATCCAGCACTTTCCATGCCATTGCATGGGTCTTGTACAGATCTTGAGACTCTCTCATTGTTCAGATAAAAAGGGGGTCAGAGAAATTCCGGTGAATTCAACAATGTCGTTCGGGCATCTCGGGCTGTTTAAATAAAGTCTCCCGAATCTTCTCACATAGTGTTCATTGAGATCTTTGTGACTTACCACACCATGTAGAGGCTGAAAGAAGCTGTCGAAGGTAAGGCTCGGACTCGCGAATCCCGTTGTCAGAGGAAGAAAAGCACTGACGAGACTCGGCATCTCAGATTGAACCTAGTTTAAAGGTAATATCGGGTCGGCCCTCAGTACCAAAGAGACCCGCCCGTGAAGCCGGACATCATTCTAGGTATGTATCGAGGAGATTTGAAGTGACGGAGATCGGTTCAAACTCCGAGTTTGCTCTGGTTCAACATGTACAAAAAGACCTACAAAAAGTTTGTCTGAAATACCTTCGTGTCCGGCCACCGTCTCTGCAATTGAAGTGCCTGTTCGCCCTGGAACGTCGGAAGGTCGAGGACATAAAATATATGCATCAGACTTATTGACCAATGACTTCGGTGGGTAAGGGTGCATCTGGTGGACGTACCGGGCGGCTTGATGACTAGTACTTGAACGTGTTGAAACTTTTGCTGTTGCAATTGATCAACCGCCGCCCGACAAAGAAATAGTAATCAATCCCACTCCTTCCTTCAATTGAACGCGGGAAGTAACTCTAGCTATACCTACGAGACTTGAAGGCACGGTAAGATCACAGCGCCAATTCGAACTCGTGGGCTCCGGTCCAACACGGGGGAAAATATTTGAAAACCATCGGATCCGGTCCATCTTCGAGTAAAATGTTTGTTTGTCCAGGCCCATTGAAGAGTAGAGGATACACACTATATGCATCCGTCAATTGACCAGTGGCAAGTGGGCATCCGAGTACCGGCGGGCAGCTTCGAATATATGTGCGAGATAAGTAAGTACACGGGCACAAAA